GAATTTTGCTTAAAAAATGTGCAGTTCATATACGTAAGTAAAAAATACCTGTAGACCCTGACCCCATTTCTTGGAGCCAGAAGAGACCACAAACTCGACTGCGTGGGTTTCACGTAGCTGCTCTAACCAGTTCTTAAATACATGCAACAATACATCTGTGCTTGTATACGAACTTCAGCTAACCTGTAAACTTTCCCTATCCGAGAAAGTCTTATATATTAATGGAGCAACAATTCCATGAGCCTGAGTCATATGCCGTAGAAGTAACGGACGAGAATAAGCCATTTGTCCGCATTCACTACACTTTACCTGGATATAAAAGACGCTCGCAGCACTCCCCAAAATCCTATCATGATCGATAACTAACCCCTTTTGGCTTCGTGGAACGCCGACTTGACTGGGTAGATAAGCCACGAACGTCGGGATGATTGTTATGTGTATTACGACTGTGTGTGACCATCACATGCCGCCGCAAGGAAGCATGAGTAGGGCCATGCCAAAAACACGTCATTTCTGAGCAGCTGAAACAGTACACCTTCACTGTCCAAAACAATTACATCTTTTGAAAACGCATGTGTATCTCAGAAATGCAACAATGTCAGAGCTAAAAAGTACAATGAAAATATTGTATTCAGTAAATGTGACTGCTGCAGTGGTAAACCACTAAGATCAGTAGAAAAATAGAGAAACTACTTACAAAAAGCGTTTCTTTTCATCGACATGTGAATACCCATTGTCATAATCGTCTCGCTCGATATGACATAATGGCGGCGATGCATTATCTGAAACACCAATGAGACAGTGCAGCGAGATCGAAAAGTAAGCACTGGAAGCGAAGAGTAATTGATAGTGATTTCTAACATTTTCACACCACAATGAAGTCAACAAAAAAGTGCAAAGTATGCAATTGACTGGACAATTTCTGAGAAAAGCGCTCTCACTCACCAGTTTCATATACAAGCTCATACTGATCTGTTGGATACTCTCCACCCATTGACATGCTCGGAGGCACAGTAGGAATGACAAGTTTCTCCGGCAGTGAATATTGGTGCTGACTATCACTTCGCTTACGATCAATGACTTGTGGATCCCTACAAAAAAGTTTGGGAACTTAAATGGTCTTGATTATTTCATGATGAAATAATTGGAAACAGTCAACAACAGCAGAACATACGCCTCGTTTTTTGGAATGCGAAGCAGATAACGTCCACCAGATTGAGTTTTCACTGGAATTCTCACT